GCTACTCGGAAGGCTGAGGCGGAAGGATCGCTGGAGCCCAGCAGGTCGAGGCTGCGGTGGCCGGGAGTGGCCACTGCACTCCAATCTGGGTGACGGAGTAAGACTCCAACTCAAAAAAAAAAAAAAAGTTACCATTTCTGGCCATCACCCCTTATAGCAGTGAACATGAACTCTGACCTTTTCTCCCAGTTTGGGATGAGGAGTGCTGAGCTGTGGCTGTGGACTCTCCCTAGGATCTCCTTCCACACCCCAACTTCCAATGCCACCCTGGACCCTAGCTTTTAGCAGGGCTGATCCTACCAGCCCAGGAATGGAACAAAAGGGACACCAGTGGGAAGAGTGGGGGTGGGGGGTTAGGCAGTGGCCCTGAGAGGGTTTGTGCACGGAGGCTCTTCACATTCAGAGGGAAGCCGACAAACCACGTGGGCCCAGTGGGGAGCAGTCAGGGTGGACAGGGCCACAAAACCTGAGCAATAGAGGTGTTAGGGATGCCACACCCAGGGGAGAGGGGAAGGGTCTTCATATGCTGAAGGGAGACCTGGAGAGGTGAGGAGACCCTTTCTGGGTGGCCCAGAAGACAGGGAATGTACCCAGTGCAGACTCTGCATCTGGGCTGATGACATTGTTCCTAATGACCACTGTTCCCAAGCAATGTGTCCGGTAATGCCTGGCCCTTCTGTGTACCCACAGCCTTCTGTGAAGAGTGACCACAGCACATACCATAGGTGCCAGTTCTGGCAGTCCTCACCACTGTGTCCTTCCTGGGCCATTTTAGTCCTCTGCATCCTCAATGCTTCATACAGAACCGGGGAGGACAGTCAGTTCCTGTTTGCTGGTTGAAGAAATGGACCCACATGGTGGGGGCAGAGCAGAGGGCTCAGAGAGAGCCAAGTTCAAATCTTGGCTCCTCATCTACAAGCTGTGTGGCCTTGGGCAAGTCTCTTACCTTCAAGCCTCAGTATTTTTGTCTGTGAAATGGGATACCCAGTGCCTACCTCTTTGGGTACATTCAGCGAGCTGCTGTGCCCACAAAGGGTGGCACGGTGCTTGGTGCCTGCATAAGGCTCTGTGCAAGAACTTTCTCCCAGTCTCAGCACGTCCCTGAGTCTGTGTGTGGTGCATCACACCATCAGAATTCTATCTTTCTGGCACCTCCCAGGTCCTACACCACTCCCAAACTTCTCAGGCCCTAGGCTGTCCCACTAAGGACCAGACACAAGGGACAGAAAGCTGTCCATCTTCACCCTGAGGGAGCCTGGAGGTCACCGCTTCTGTCCAGTCCACTCTCTGGGGGGGGGGGTCACTGCTTCCCTCCCCCATTCTTCATCTCAGCCAGCCCCAAAAGACATCCCAAAGGACAACCCAAGCTGGAAGTTTCTGGAATTCATGGAGAAAAAGCCCGACAACTGGTGAGGGAGAGTCCCTGAGGCCTGGGCGCCCACAGTCTCTGGGCCCACCTGCTTCCTGGAGAAGGGTCCTGGTACCGTCTATTTTCCCAGCCCTTAGGCCTGTGGTTCCCACATTAACACATGAATGGGGCACAAGCCCCTCTGTCCACTCGAACAAACAATTTGGCTAGCAAATTGACATAATTACAAGAGACAGAGAAGGAAGAAAAATGCTCCCACCCCCCCGGCCCCCTAGCAGGCAGCTCCCAACGAGCTCCTCTGGGCTTTGTGGCCTGGCGCTCAGGGCTGATTAGAAACCTCATGGCCTTTTCAAGAGCCCTAAGTGATTGGTCCCCTTAATCTGATTACAATTTGCAGAGCCCCTCCAGAGGCCTCTGAAGGACTGTTCTCAAGCACCCTGCTCGATCATGGGCGAGTACACACACACACACACACACACACACTTAGCACCCACTTGGGGCTGCTGGGGGGGGGCTGTGTCTTGCCACTTTCCTGACCACGCCCATTCCCTTAGTCAAAGTCCTCTGAGTCATCCAAGCTGCTGTCCTATTCCCAAATCTCAGATACACACAGGGCCTGACACTACTCCTAACACACTGGGTTGTCCATCTTTTTAATTTTTTAAAAATTTATTTGTAGAGAGGGGGTCTTGCTATGTTACCCAGGCTGGTCTCCAACTCCTGTCCTCAAGCAATCTTGCCACCTCAGCCTCCCACAGTGCTAGGGTTACAGGTGTGAGCCATGCACCCTGCTGGAGGGTGCCCATCTTTAGGGTGTCCCAGGCCAGGGTTGAATGTGCACATGTACACCCCAGTAAGCACACCTTCCCACCACCCATCCTTCCTTGGAGTGGCTGCCCTGAGCACCCAGGATGAGGCTGCCTGGCCTCGTCAGTGGCATTTCTGGGGCTCCTTGGGCTGAAGCTCCCAGGGGATTAGGCCCTGCAGGCAGGCTGGACACCACTCAGGCACAGGCTGCTTGGGCCGCTCCCCCCTTGGGAACTGGGGCTCTCAGGGGCTGCAGTCAATGGCCTCCGCCCTCCACATCCAATTTGTAGCTCTTAATCCCTGGGGCTGAGCCACAATGGCTCCTTTTCCCATACTTGCTCCCGGCTCTCACCAGCCCCAGCCTGGCCCCCACCCCAAATGGAGCCCCACTGGGCAGCAGCTCAGGGTGGGGTTGGGGGCAGATAGTAGATTGAAGAAGGGGCTCTATCCTTGTTGACTAAACACCCCTGCCCTAGGAGATGAAAGCTGGGCCTGTGGATGGGGTTGAGGAACATGTGTGGGGACCTCCACAGTGACCCCCAGCCTGCTGCACCCTCATCTCTTGGGCACCTTAGCCTGGAGGCCCTGGGAAAGGGGTTTGACACCTAGGACCCCACCTCCCCCATCTGTAGGATGGGAATGCTATGTTCTCTCTCCTTTCTCTCTCTCTCCTCTCTCCTTCTTTCTCCCCCCCCCTTCTTCTTCTCCTTCTCCTTCTCCTTCTTCCTCTCTCTCTCTCCCTCCCTCCCTCCCTCCCTCTCAGGGTTGCTGGGAAGTGAAATGAGGTAGGGTGTGTAGAGTCCTCCGCCCGCGCCCCGCCCAGTCAGGGTTCAATGTCATGGCCACTGTCGACATTCATGATTCAGGAGCAAGGGGGAACTTGGGGTACAGCCATCAAACACACGGATGGGGACGGTCTCCGGCTGCTCCTCTCTAGCCCCGTACAGGGAAACTCCAGGCTCTGCGAGGCTCCCTGAGGACCCTCACGGTTGGGTTTTCGGGACCACCCCCAGTTGCCAACATTGTAAGGCCTTGTGCCTGACCACGTGGCCCAGCGCTGATTTGGGAAACCGACGTCTCGACCCAGATCTCTTCCCGTGGTGGGGGCGGGAGGG